ACCGCGGGACCCCCCTTAATCTCAAAGCAAAAATCCATCCCCCCTATATTCTGCTACTGCTCCTCCTGCCCTTCCCGTCCTCCGAAAATCTCTGAGCATCTCCCCCAATCTGAGAGGACCCCATTCAGACCTCCGAAAGAGATTGCTGTTCTATTCCCGCCCCGTAACGTCCGTTACGGGAGGGTTGGGCCCCGCGGGGGGGGAGCCTTGGCGGTATACGACGACGACGATCACGACGACAACGACGCGGACAATGACGACGACGACGACGAGGACAAATATGAGGAAGACGACGACGACTGCGACGACCACGACCACGACGAGGACGAGGACGACGACAACGGCCGCCTCTATAGCTCTCTTGGGGTCTCCAGAAGCCTCAGGACACCTCTGGGGGGGCCTCTACGGGCGTCGAGAAGAGCTCGAAAGCCCTCGGGGACGACGGCGACGGCGACGGCCACGAAAACGACGCGGACGAGGTCGGCGACGAACGCCTCTGAAGGTCTGCAGAGGCCCCCGGAAGCCTCAGGAGGTTCAGTTCTCCGATGGCCTCTGCTGGAGGCCCGTCGTGGCCCTCGGAGACGGCGACGACGACGATAACGACGACGACGGCGAAGACGAGGACGAGATCGACGAAGAAGAAGACGAAGACGATCACGACGACGACGACGACTGTGACAAGGGTGGCAACGGTGACACAAGTGAAAACGGCGACGACGGCGACGACGGCGACGATGACGCCACCGGTGGCACTAACGGTGGTTGTGAAAGCGACGGTGACGACGACGACGACAACGACAGCCTCCTCTGAACGTCTCCAGAAGTCTAGGGAGGCCTCATGAGGCCACGTGAAGCTTCTGGAGGCGTCTGGAGACCCTCGATCCTATGCCAGTCAGCACCACACCATGCCTGTGAGCACGGCGCCCCGGACCTGTGAGGGGGGCAACCCCCGCCCCCCGTACGCCCGTTACCGTTACCGGGGGGGGGGGGGGGCGGGAGAGAACTCAGTGCCCTGGAACATGACGTGTTGCACCGATTTCCCCCGTGGAGTAGCAGGTTGCATGTGAAGAGGGAGCCTGGCCAATGGTGAATAGCTGCCCACACATGACGGATCCATGCGATATTGCTGTTTTTTCTTTCCGACGCACGGCTGAACAGCGTTGTTGAAAAGTTCCGAAAGGGCAGCAAGCGCCAACAGTCACACTGACGCGAACAACACTCAGTCTGTGGGCGACGTTCTCACTTGCATTGGAATAGTTCACGGAAGCGCGACGAAAGCAGGCCGCTTGCGCGGGCGGGGGGGCACCGCAACAGCCAGTGGCCTCTTCCGCAAAACTTCGGCGCTAGCAGCCGCGGGCCGTTTTCGCGGGCGGGGCATCGCCGCAGCAGCCGCTGGCCTTCTGCACAAAACTTTGGCACCAGAAGGCAGGCGGCCGACGTCGAGCGCGGATTCGCGCGCGCTGCCAGGCTCAACTGTGGCGCGATTTTTGGCGGGTGCTGGGTGAAAGGGCGCATCGCAGCCTGAAGCAGCTCGCGCTGCAGAGTCAACAGGCTAGCTTCGACGGCTTGCCTCATCACGCTGCGAGCTCCCCTGGCGTCTTCGACAGATAAAAAGCGCCGCCGCCGCCGCCGAGGTCGTATGCATCGCTGTCCATGGCAAGTAGATCCCCCGCTGGCAACATATCCATATCGAAAAACACAAAGCGAGCCATCCGGAGCCAGGCCATCTGGAATTCGCCCGGCGGCATGTCGAGCTGCTGCAAACCATCGGGCATCAAGACAATCAGCCTCCTCACGAAAGACCACAATGACTTTATGTCGTTCGGGTCGCCGCTGATGGCCGGCAAGCTCGGGTTCAACTCCCAGCACTTCGCGCAGCAAGGCCAATTTTGAGACACCTATATATATATATATGTACACAAATATATATCTATATATATATATATATATATATATGTGTGTATGTATATACGCTGCATTCATGCCGACATTGGGCCTACAATGCGAGCGCCCGCCGCTGACGAAGCTCTTGAAATGGCTCTCCTGTAAAAGCTTCCCAGCCTGACACTCCAGAATCGTTACGCAGTTCGCACGGGCAAACTGGCACCCCTGCTTGCGCAATTCCTCCTCCTCCTGGAAGACGTTGGGCCCTGCGAAACGGTGCGAGCCGCCGAAAACAGATTCGCGCGCAGCTTGGGCCCCGCTTGGGCCTGGCAGACTTGCCGATCCCCCCACCCGACAAAAAAAATACCACCTTATGCGAGAGAGGCTGGCCATTAAGCGCCAAGGCATCCATGCTTTCATCGACGGTTCTAGCGTCGCTACGGCCAGCAAACGTAGTGCGCAGGAGCGTGCGCAGCTTCACCCCATTCAGAGGCCTCAGAAGCCCTCGTGGGGCGGCGGTGGGCGCGTGCAATCGTGAAACATGTTTGCGGTCTATGAGAGTGTGCAAACGAGGAACTCATTACGGGAATGGGAGCTCATCCATAGAAGACCACACATTGAGTCCTTTTGACAGGTTACTGAAGGATTGTGGATTACACAAGGATCCCTGGACCTCAGAGACTCGCCACCGACCGTTTCACACTCATTGATTCTACTTGTGGCGGGTTACAAACTGATTCCTTTTGTGGCGAATTACAATTTGATCCCTCTTGTGGCGGATTGCAAATTGATTCCCAGGGTTGCGGATTAAAATTCGATTCTCGTTGCAGCGGGTTACATAGTGATTCCCTCTGTGGAGAATTACAGGCTGGTTTCATTGGTGGCGGATTACAAGTTGATTCCTCGTGTGCGGCCTTCAGACACAATTCCTGCGTGCGTGGCCCAGGGGGGGAGGGTGGGAACCTGGTTGACGGAAGTAACAGAAAAACAAACGCAAACAAAAAAACAATTCGGGGAGCAAAGAGCGCTGCGTTTTTGTTGTGTCGCATTTTTAAAAAATGAATCACGATAGCATACAACAGAAAACCAACCTGGAAGCAAAGGGGGCCTGTGTTTGTACAATGTTTACGCATTACAGAATGATTCCCAATCTGTGGCCTTCATATGAAAACCCTTTTGTGAGGGTCTCCACATTCATACTGTGTACGATACAATCGAACTCCTTGCGTGCAGGCTTACAAGTTTATTTCTAGTGTGCGGCCTTCACATCGAAGTCTTATTTTGTCCCCGGCTCAGGACGAGGGGAAGTGGGGGCCTGGCCGACGGAAAATACAGAAGAGACAACTTGGACGAGCAACGACGCTGTGTTCCAATTTGAAAATGAACGCTTTCCTTGCAAACCCCAAAACCCCAAAACACCAATTTGGAAACCTAAAATATGTGAGATGGCCTGGTTTCGACGTTTGCATTTTGTTTCGTATAGCGCAGCCTTCCAACAACAAGTCCCATTTGTGGGGGCTACAACGCCACACACTTGGAATCAGGTTGTAAGCCTGCGGAAAAAATACGACTGTATCGTACACAATAAACATCACTTTGTAGATCCTCACGCTGGGATTCTATGTGGCCGTAACACACTAGGAATCACTTTGCAAATGCGTAAAAACTGCAAGAACAAAAAGGTTTTTTGTCTCCAGGTTGTTTTTCCTGTTCTTGGATCTGCACTTAAAAACCGCTTTACAATAAGAAAGACAACGGTTTTAGTCCATGAGGTTGTCTTTTTGCTGTGTTGCCATTTTTTGTCGCCGGCCAATATCTCATCTTCCCCCCCCTGCGCCAGGCACAACGGACGTCTATGTGACGGCCGCACACTCTGGATCAATTTCTAAGGCTGCACGCAAGGATTTCGATTGTATCGTACACAATAGCAATCAATGTGTAGACCCCCACAAAGAAATATAGTTTGAAGGCCACGCAATAGGAATCAACTTGTATAGCGGAAGCACTGTATTAAACACAAGTTTTGTTAGCCTCCAGGTTGTTTGTTTCTTGTGTTTTGGGGTTTATTTATAAAACAAGCAACGTTGCACTTAAAAGACACAGCGTGGTTGGTCCCCCGCATTGTGTTTTGTATATGTTTTCCTGTTTTGTCGGCCAGGCCCCCGCCCCACCTCGCCCTGAGCAGTGCACAGAAGAATTCTAAGCGACGGCCGCGCAATAGGAATCAAGTTGTACGTCTGTACAACAGGATTTCGATTGCATCGCACACCATAAGAATCAACGTGTAGACTCCCACAAAGGGACTTTATTTGGAGGCCACACAGTAGGAATCATATTGTAAATGCATAAACGTTGTAAACCACATATATTCGTTGCTTCCCTTATTTTCTCGTGTGTGTGTGTTTCCGGGGCTATAATGGCATGAAGATTGCAATACAAAAACCGCAGCGTTGTTGGTCCCCCAGGCTGTCTTTTATTATAAGCGGATTCCTTCTTGTGGCGGACGAAGGGAGAATGCGAAAATCTGGAAAATCTCTCCACTGGCCTTGTTCCAGGGCGCGGAGATGCAACCCTTCACCACGGACGTTACGGGCCCCGCTCAACGAATAACAAAACCCAATATCAAGACCTGTAGGGCCCTCTGTTCATGCTGGACCGCTTTTTCATTATCCTGAGGCCCATCGAGGGCCCCAAGAAGCGGAAAAGTCAGAACAACTTGTGTCAGGTGCTCTTCAATACGATGGAGTCTACGTTCTCCCCTCATCCCCTCCTCCTCTCCATTCTCCCCCTTTGGGACCGCCCCGATTCCTCCTCCTCTCCTCCTCCTCCTCCTCCTCCTCCTCCTCCTCTCCCCTCCTCATCCTCCTCTTCCCTTCCTCCCCTCCTCCTCTCCTCCTACTCCTTACTCCTCCTCTCCCCTCCTCCTCCGCCTGCTCTCCCTCCTCCTCCTCCTTCTCCTCCTCCTCTCCGTGTATTTGTCCCTTGTGGTCCTCCTCCTCCCCCCTCCTTCTCCTCCTCCTCGTCCTCGTCCTCCTCCTCCTCTTGGTCCTTCCCCCCTCCTCCCCCTCTTCCACCTCCTCCTCCTTCTTCTCCCTCTGCACGGCGATCTCTGGCTCCTTCGTCAGCGGGTTCTGGCAGAGATCGATGGTCTTGGCCCTCGCCTTGCTCTCCTGGGAGCACCACGTCTCGCACCAGAGCCACTCCTCCAAAGGGGTGGGGGGAATACAGAAGGGGTGGAGGGAGCCAGGGGGCGAGGGGAGGAGGAAGAGATTTGCCCCAAACCAGCGCTCGCTTTCACTACAAGGTTCTTGCTGCTTTTCCCTCGCCACCGTGGCCCCCCCTCCCCCGACAGATCCCCAGAGCGAGGATATCCATCCGGCTGCATCTGGTGCACCGGGCGTCTCGAGGAAGCCTCGAGGCGCCCGGGACTCGGGAATCCTTGAGGTGTACCCCCGCGTGAGGCATCCTCGCAATTCCACTCCTCGTGGGCGCCTCTTGGACGGCGAGGAGGGTGGGGAGTCCACGGCAACAATATTCCTGGAATTAGGTTGCTCCCATCGTTCTGAATCACCACATCCCGAACATATAATTTCGAGCGCCTGGAAAAGTGTCGAAACGGTGTCGAAACAGTGTCGGACGAGTGTCTCCCAGGGACCGACATGTGAAAATCCTCGAGTTTCGGTACTTCTTTGGTGCTCGAAATTCTTCCTGGTGATCACGTATAAAGTAGGTTGGAACATCACAATCCTGGAGAGAGGGAAGGGGATTCGCTAGTGTGCCGCGAGGACCCCGAGTGGAACGTCCTCAAAGTCCCCAAGAAGCCCCTGCATGAGAGATTGGGCTGTGCTGTGAGGTGCCCATAGGCCCATGTCCAGGAAGCTTCGGAATTCTGCCGTGTGGTTTTTCGGCGGTGGACAAACGTCCCTTCAACAAGTCTCCCCTCAGTGAAAACGGCCTAGATAGGACCGAAACCGACGGACCTGGACCCGCAAAAATGACGGCCGCGACGCATTCTCTCGCACCGAAAACGGCCAATTCCTGAATCGACGTGTCAGGGCAGGAGGTCCATCAACCTCTGATTTTTTTCGGGCGCCCTGAGTCTCTTTTCGTGATGCCAGCGATCCCCAAGACGGGCTAAAAGAGGGTCGTGTGAGAGCGGCTCCTGAGCGGCGAGAGCACGATGTCTACGTCGGACAGCGATGCCGCAACTCATGGATAAGATACACGTTGAAGCCTACAACTACTCCAGATCCCTTATTAATCGTCCCCCTGGTCCGGTTGTTTAAGGCGCCGTTTTTGCAACCGGGGGGGTCCGGTTTATTAGGGAGCTTTCTTCGGATTGGAGCTTAGGGGGGTCCGGCTTATTAAGGTGTCCCGTCGAAGAGCGGGTTCGGAATATTAGGTCGCGTTTGGAAGGGGGTCCGGATTTTTAGGGGGGGGGGTCGATTAAGAAGGAATTTGGAGTAGAGCGCGATTCCCCAGCAGGTTGTCGCGAGCTCGCAGGCGACAGCACGACTCCTGAGCGTCGAGGGCGTATTGCTTAATGAAGCCTTGGAGAGTCCAGAGCAAGAGCGCGAGTTTCGAGTGCTTTACAAGCAAAGCTCGAGCGAGTGCGCGATGTCTCTCTCGCTCTCTCTCGCTCTCTATCTCTCTCTGACGCACATCGGCAACCTGCGAGCGTCGAGGCGCGCACCACCTCACGTTGAGAGAAATAAGCGGGTACCCGATGGGGATCAGCAAATATCTGCTCTCCAGAACAGACAGTTCGCCCACGAACAAACGACATCAGTCCTCGGTCCCCATGTTGCCCCCTGCTCCCGATCCCTCTCCTCCTCCTCCTCCTCCTCCTCCTCCTCCTCCTCCTCCTCCTCCTCCTCTCCTCCCTCCTCCTCCTCCTCCCTCCTCCTCCTCCTCCTCCTCCTCCTCCTCCTCCTCCTCCTCCTCCTCCTCCTGCCCCCGCTCCCGTGCGGGGAGCCCGTCCTCCGGGAGCGAGAAGATCGGGATCTGGTGCTGGGCGAAGTTCGGCAGGTCCTGGTCCAAATTCGCCAGCGAGTTCGGGTCCCGGCTGAGCTGGTTGTAGACCCCTCCCCGATAGGGACTACCTACCAAACCACCCCAACCCAACCCGAAGACCCGAATTTCGGGTTGGGGGGGGGGTATGGGCCATGCGTGTTTTTTCAATGTTCCCCGACCCCCCCCCCACTGGAAATGGAGGGCAAATTGAGGCCTTCGGGTTGGGTTGGGGTGGTTTGGTGGGTGGTGAGATAGGAGGCGTCCATCCCCGATGCGGGCGCGTCCGAATAACCCCCCTCGGGGGCGTATCCTCGAGTTCCCCTGCTTCCCGAGCGGCTCGATGTTTCGTGGACAAGCTGGGGGGGGGGGGCGAAACAAACACCCGCGAAGTGCCTCCTCCGTCCTCTCCTCCTCTGCCGGAGCCTGGGGCGCTCGGCCGTGCTGTCTCAGGAGACGCGGAGCTCGCAGACCGAAGCGGACGGAAGACCGGTGGCGGCAGTGACGATTGGAGTCGGCAACACGGCGTCGACAAGAGAGCCGAAGTATGTGCAAAATATAAACAGTTACACACATGTATATATATATATATATATATATATATATATATATATTCACATACATATAGGTATGGCGCCGCGCCGTTTGTCTTCGACGCGCCCAGGTGGAGGGCACCGACACCACGGCAAGCTCACGGCAAAACCCTGCGCCCCGCGCCCAGGCAGACGAGGCCGACACCGCGGCAGGCCCCACGGCAGACCTCTGGCGCCCTCTCCAAGACGCAAGGCCACGCGTCGGAGCAAACGGCGCGGCGACGGATATGTCTACGGCACGGAGCGCGGGCCTGCTCCAAATTCCTCCTCCGCCCCGAGGCTCCCAGCGTCGTGGGTTTTGCACAGCGCGGACACTGGAAGGTCTGGGCCCCTTCCCCCAGGGCTGGTCATTTGCACAATGGAAAATCTCATTTGACGGACCAGGGGCCCGGTGAAGATGCCAGGTGCCCAAGATTACTCACTGCGTGGATATCCCCACATATGTGCATCTTGTTAAAAGGATAACTGTCAGTGGGATCTGGGAATGCGCGTCTAGCCATTTGGGCGCTTGGGACTGCTCCTGGGGCCTCTCGGGGCCTCCTGTTGCCTTCCGAGGCCTCCTGGCGCTTCCTCTGGCCTCCTGGGGCCTCCTGTGGCTTCCTGAGGCCTCCCGGAGCTTCCTGGAGCCTCCTAGAGCCTCTTGGGACATCCTATGGCCTCTTGAGTCTTTCTGTGGCCTCCTGATGCCTCCTGGGACCTCATGTGGTCTCCTGGGGCCTCCTGGAGCCTGTTGGAGCCTCCTGTGGCATCCTGCGGAGAATCTGTGCCCACGAGTCTGGCCACCGATCGAGACATCCTCAAAATCTGGCCCACCTGAAGGGTGAAAATGAGCGCCTCGCTCGAGACATCCTCCAAATCTGCTCCGAAAGCGAAGGATGTTGGGACAGACAACAGGCAAACCGCTTGAGACATCCCCACAAAACGGCCGCGAACGGGACCGTGAAAACACTTCTGGTGGCTCCCCTTAGGGATGCTGAAAATGAGCGCCTCGCTCGAGACAGCCTCCAAATCTGCTCCGAAAGCGAAGGATGTTGGGACAGACAACAGGCAAACCGCTTGAGACATCCCCACTAAACGGCTGCGAACGGGACCGTGAAAACACTTCTGTCGGCTCCCCTTAGGGATGCTGAAAATGAGCGCCTCGCTCGAGACATCCTCCGAATCTGCTCCGAAAGCGAAGGATGCTGGGACAGAAAACATGCAAACCGCTTGAGACATCCCCACTAAACGGCCGCGATCGGGACCGTGAAAACACCCCTGGCGGCTCCCCTTAGGGATGCTGAAAATGAGCGCCTCGCTCGAGACACCCTTCAAATCTGCTGTGTGTGTGTGGAAAAAGTCAGAAAATGAAAAGGTCTGAGTACGAGCAGGTCTGAGTATGAGTAAGTCTGGGAACAAGTCTGAGTATTAGTTAGTCTGGACATGAGTGAGTCTCAGCATGAGTAACTCTGAGTAGGAGTTCAGAGTAAGTCTGAGTAGGAGTAGGTCTGAGTATGAGTAGGTCTGAGTATGAGCATTTTTTTGTGTGTGTGTGTGGGTATGTCTGGGTATGAGTAAGTCTGAGTTTGAGTCAGTCTGTGTATGAGTAAGTCTGGGTTTGAGGAGGAGAGGGGAGGAGAAGAGGAAGAAGAAGGAGGAGTAGGAGGCGTCCAAATAATAACAAGAACCCCTATCTTAGGATATGGGGAAAACGAACACTGCCCGTCGATCTTTGTTTCACGACGTGAAGGGGTCTGGGTCTGGTCCTCCTCCTCCTCCTCCTCCTCCTCCTCCTCCTCCTCCTCCTCTTCCTCCTCCTACTACTTGTCCTTATATCATAAAACCATCCCATCCCCTCCCCATCCCCTCCCCGGAGGGTCTCGCCGATGGACGTGCGGCGGAACTCAACGAGGTCCACAACGAAGAGCGCCGAGATGTGGTAATTCAGGTCGCCGAGGTGAGATTGCCAGTACCCCTGCTCCGGCACTTGAAAGATAGCAGCGCGCTCCCCGATGCCGATATCCCCCACCCCCTTTGACACCCCATTCCTTTCCGGGCCTCCCCACGCGCGCCGACACCGCCCCCCCACGCCGCCCCCCCCCCTGGCTTGAAGGCCCATTCCAGTGGCAAGAACTGGGGCAAACTTGGACAAGGACAGACCAGGGATCTCTGACATCCGGCGGTTCTGGAGGACGCCTTTTAAGCGCCGCGGCCACGCCAGAGCGCATGCGGAATGCCTCGAGAGCGTCCAGGAACGCTCTGGAATGAATTGTCCCGATCCTGGCCCCGCCCGGGCACCCCCGGGGCGTGTTTTCCACCACCACCACCATAAGTTGGAGGGTGGGGGGGTCCTCCTCCTCCTCCTCCTCCTCCTCCTCCTCCTCCTCCTCCCTCCTCCTCCTCCTCCTCCTCCTCCTCCTCCTCCTCCTCCTCCTCCTCCTTCCCCCCTCCAACTTATGGTGGTGGTGGTGGAAAACAAGCTCATTCACCGATGTCGCTATACCTTTCACAACGTCGACTTCCGGAGAGGCCTCGATCGCTCCTCGGGGGCCGGTCGCTGCTCCAGAATATAACTTCTTCTGGCCCGCGAGGGCCCCGCGGGGGCGCCCAGGAGCGGCAGACAGTCGGGCAGCGTCCGTCGTGGTTGCTCCGCGCGAACGGGTCTCGGCTCCCGCCCACCACGCTTACTGAACAGCGCTCATCGTTCATCGTCGTCGATCGTCGCGCGTGCGGTCGATCATCGTCGTTCATCGTCGATCGTCGCGCGTGTCGTCGATCGTCATTCATCGTCGTCGATCGTCGTCACCAAGGTGGTCGTCGCTCATCGTCGTCGATCGTCGTCGTCGTCGTGCGTGCGGGCAGCCGCGCGGAGCGCCGCAGTGGCGGGCCGAGCCTCGGCCGACGGGCTGCGCTGCACCCTCGCCACAAGAAAGCCGCCGCCGTCGCCACCGCCGCCGCCGCTGCTGTCGGCTGCCTGCTTCCAGAATCGGAAGCCCTCCGTGTCCGGGTTCGTGTTCCCCATCGGCGTGAACCCGTACACCTCCCGAGAGGCCAGGCACTAGGGGCGACGACAGGGGGGGACTGGCATAGGGGGGGATGCATCGACTTGGAATCGGCGATACATCGCCGATAGATCGGCGATAGGCCCCCGACAATGGATCCGCACCTTTCAGTGAAGGTTGGGGCTATCGGGCCCCTATCCGCGATCAATGGGCGATTGGGGGGCCCATGCGCCCCCCCCTCTATGCCTACCCCCCCCACCCCTATCTCTTTGCCCCCGAAGGCAGCGCCAAGGGGGGTCATCCCTGGGGTGTCGCCAGCTCCTCCGCGGAGTGGGCTCCCCTGGTACCGTCTCCATGTCCGTTCGGTCCTCGATCCCCCCTCCTGGAGAAGGAACGATAGGGGCCTCCTAAATGGGTCCGAGTAAAATGGGTCGGAGGATCTCGCCGCATGACCGATACATGGGGGCTGGCGGCGTCGGCGATGCATCGGCGACGTCGGCGTGGAGAAAAGTGGGCCCCACATCGACCCGCATCGCCGATGCATCGCCGATGGCACGATCCTCCGACCCCATCTACTCCGACCTCACCTAGGAAGCGTAGACGAGAAGGGGGGGAAGGGGACTGGCCCAGGGTAGGAAGCATCGAGCTGGAAGTGGCGACACATCGCGGACCCCAGACCCCCTCGCCCTTTGAACAAAATCACAGAGGGAAATTGTTCGCTGTTTCCGGCCTCTGGGTGCCCTTGCCTGGCCTCGCGACCGTCAAAGAACGACTCTGGATGAAAAACTGATCCCGGGGAATGGGTCCGGACCTGTGGGGTCGCGCCATGAACAAAAATATGACGTCCAGGTTCTGGGACAGATCGGCGATAGGCCCCCGATGGCGAATCCGCACGTTTCTGGGCTGGGTGAGCCATCGGGACCCAAGTAGGCGATGAGTGGAAAACCGAGAGTCGATGCGTTCCCCCCTGAGCCTATCCCACCGCCCCTAGCGCTGCCCCTGACTCCTACTCGACCCCCCATATTTACGGAGGAGCTGCCCCCCGGTGGTGGCCCCCCTTGTGCGCTGCACCGGACCCCCGACGTCGGGTTGTTGCCATCTTGCGGACCCCCACAAGTTGAGACCACTTCCCCGGGCCCGGCTTTTCAGCCCGGATGGCTCGTTGACGGTCCCGGGCCTGCGGGCCGGTGACAACCCCCCAGGGGCAGACAAAGGGCCCAACCCGTCGGGAGATGTTTCTCTCACGACGCGAGGGGGTCTGGGGCCTGACCTTGAGAAGGGGGAAGGATCCGCGGAACGACGGGGTCAGGGGCCTGGCCCTGGGAGGTGCCATAGTGGGAGGCGGGGGGGGGCGGAGGAGCCCCAGGCATGGCTGCACCCTGCGCACCCCCCGGGAGGAGGGAGGGGGACAACGAAAGAGAGGCAGGGGCAGGGGTGAGTGGGGGGAGGAGAAGGAGGACGAGCAGGACGGAGATAGAGAGACGAGTAGGATGACGGGGGGGAGGGAGGAGAGGAGGAGGGAGGAGAGGCAGGACCCCGTCCCCCTCGCGCCGTGCAACAGAACCACGGCGCAGACGGCTTCTGACCGTCTGCGGACATTTGGGGCGCCCTCGCGAGGCCCTAATGCCATCAGGAACTGACTCGAGATGGAAAACGCCGGCCCCAAGGGGAAGGTCTCCTGACCTCCAGGGGTCCATGTTGTGAGCAATTCATGATCGTCGGGGGTCTGCGGAGGTATGTGGAGCGGGAGGAGGAGGAAGAGGAGGAGGAGGAGGAGAATGAGAAGGAGCAGGAGCAGGAGGAAGGAGGAAGAGGAGAAGCAGGAGCAGGGAGCAGGAGGATGAGGATGAGGATGAGGAGGAGGAGAAGGAGGAGGAGGAGGAGCACGAGGATCAGTAGGAGGCGCCCTGTCTGACCCTCCAACCTTCCCTTCCAGGTCCATGTCCCACAGCTCGCGCACGTCCGCCCTCACCACCTGGTCGGCGTCGATGAAGATCACCTTCGGCACGTCCATCGGGAAGAGGACGTCCAGGAAGAGGATCCGCCATCGCGCTTGCAACGGCTGGTGTGTGACGGGCCCTTGCTTTCTGATACCTCCGCTACCAGACCCCCGACGTCATCATTTTTTCATGACGCGACCCCCTGAGGTCCAGACCCATTCCCCGGGACCAGTTTTTCATCCAGAGTAGTTGTTTGACGGTCCCGAGGCCCGGTGAGGGCCCCCAGAGGCCGAAAATAAGGGAAAAAACGTCCCGTCGTGATTTGTCCATGACTCGAGGGTGTCTGGGCTCCCTGGAAAGCAATAATTAGTCGAAGCCCCCGACACTGCGTTTCTCGACGTCCGACCAACAAAAACAAATCCCCAACACGAAGGTACGGGTAGCTGGGTCCCACCCTTGGGTCGGGCCTGTCCCCCTACAGGGGGATTTTGGGCCCCAAAGAGAGCATACTCACAAAATACAACCAACATTCTAGAAAATTGTGAAAACATGGTCCCCAGGCTATTATTTATGCACATACTATTTTTCAATGTCCCTCCTGTAGAAGGCAAAACCCGACTGAATCCCACCCCGCCATCCCCCCCCCGTCGCTCTCCACCGCCTCCGCCCCACAGGCGCCCCCGACCACCCCACCTGGGGGCGGAATCGCGCGGCAGCGCAACTGGATCTTGTAGGCCCAGATCAGCCGCTGCTTCTCGCTTTGCGGGTTCAGCCAGGAGGGCCACTTGTAGGTGACAAAGTCGAAACCGAAGTTGTACTTCTTCGCGAACTTCGGGATGAACTCCTTGAACTTGGGCGAGAGGAATTGGTCGATGAACCTAGGAGGGTAAACAATACACAGACCCAAACTCCAGAAGCCCGCGAACTAGATCTTCGTTGGCGACCGAGCTCCCTCCCCAGCGCCCCTGTGGAAACCCAAAAAAGTATCGACACCGCTGACCGACGCCTCCCGGGGTGCGCTCTGACCAGGATTTCGAGGCGAATCCAGCGGTGGCGACGAAGGCCTCGCAGGAGGCCCAAGCAGGGGAGAACAAGGCAAAGGGCAGCGGCATCGGTACCTTTTCCTCCTCTGAACCCCATGCCACGGGGCACGCCGGGGGCGGTGCCCCAGGCGCCACCCAAAAGCACGGCGGATGGGTCCCGCGCTCGCGGCGTAACCGTCCGCGGACGTCCCAAGTTTTGTGATGTGTCGGTGTGCTTGCCCTCTCTCTGCCAGAGATCCGATGTATTTGTTTGTGTTCCGTGCGCGGCCCTGGGGGTCCCCAGAGATCCGACGCTCCAATAGAAATATTGGGGCGGCGGGTTTTGACAATTTTCGGCCTCGCTGGGGCCCTCGCTGGGCCTCGGGACCGTACAAAACAAGTCAAGACAAAAAACGGGCCCGAGGGAAACGGTCCAGTCCTCTGGGGCCCACGCACAGAAAAAATTAAGGCAACTGGATGTCTGGGCCTCGACCGTCTCCCCAGAGACGGCTTTTCACACCGAGTCGTCTTGGCTGACGGTCCTGGGTCCCAGCGAGGGTCCCCGGAGGCCAACACCAGCGAAACACGTCCGTCTCGATGCTTGACGACACGCTGGAGGTCTGGCTTTCAGGCCCCCGAGAGCCAGAAATGGAGCGGGCATTTTGTCTTGGTCCTGACGGACATGATCATGATGCCCAGTAGTTTCTCGTACAGGTGTCCGCTCGCCACGCTGAAGATGTGGATGGTCGGCAAAACCCCATCTGCGACAGTCGGGGCGCTGGCCTTTGGCGGCGGCAGCGCAGGAGAAGGAATGACGAGAAGTCAGGGGATGGATGAGCAAACGGGCAAGACGAAGCCAAGACGAAGATAGCATTGGGTGCGGATAAATCGAGAATCTCTGAGATATGAGCTCTGGATGATGTCTTGGGCGCCGCGGCGTTCTCAGAGCGTTCCGGAACGCTCTGAGAAAGTTCCGAACGCAATGGAAAAACATTATCCTCTCCCAGCCCCATCCGAGATGGAGAGGACTGAGTCGGCCACTTGCAGAGGGGGTCAGGGGAGGGGGGAGGCTCATTAGAAGTACACCCCGCTTCTTAGAGGGCGCGGGCCTGATCTGTAGATGTCGGGCCGGCGCCTTGCGAGAAGCAGCCTCATTCTGAGAAACCTTCCCGCCTCCCCCCGTCCACTACGCCATCAGTGCACGCAGAAGCCAGGGTTAGGTCGGGCGTGTTCTCTACAGGCGGATTTTGGTCGAATTATGAAAAATACACAAAAAATATGAAAATTAACAAGAATAGTGACAAAAATATTATCCCCTTATCATTGTGTGGCTACTTTGAATTTTCCTCCTCTAGAGGGACAGGCCCGACTGAAAGCCAGGGCCTCCTGGCCTCCGAGCGCGCAGAGGCCTGCGCAGAGGCCTTCCCCCCTCTCCGGCCGTGCGCTACGCACACGCGTCGAGGGCTTCCGGGTGTACGCTACGCGCCCGCATCCAGGGCCACCAGGGACGGAGGGCACGGCGTGCGCGCGTGGCCGACAGATGGGAGGCCACATGCGAACCCTACCCCCACCACCCCACGATCTCTAAGAGGGGAGGTGGGGCTCACTTCGATCGGGGCCTCCCGAGCGAAGTGAGCCCCGCTTCCCCCCTCAGACATCGTGGGATGGCGGGTGTGGGGCTCGCGTGCGGCCACCGAGCAGAGCACGAGAGAGGGCGCACAGAGGGGGGGGGCGCGATGAAGGCGGGCCTCGTCGGAAGAGAAGAAGAACAAACATACACAAACATAAACTTTTGGCGCTCCGCGCGGATTTCTGGGACTTGCGCCTGAGCCTCCCTCCCTGGCGCACGGAGCGCGCCGGGCGCGGATCCAAGAAATCCGCGCGGAGCGCCAACAGTTTATGTTTGTGTATGTTTGTTCTTCTTCGAGGGAGGGCCTCCGTCGGAAGGGTCCCTCCGCTGGAAGGGCCTCCGCCGCAAGGGCCTCCGCCGGAAGGGTCTCTCCGAGGGGCAGGGGCCTCGTCGGAAGGGCCTCTCGGGGCCTTCCGAGAAGGCCGCGCAGGCGCAGAGGACATCTATACGCGCCACCGCCGTGGTTGGCCCTGGCTGGGCACGGTGGTGGTGTACAGGTAGGTCGGGCATGGTCCCCTGCAGGCGGATTCTGGTCGAAAAGTCCAAAATACTCTTAATACTTCAACCTATAAGTGATCAAACATACATGAAAATGGTTCCCAACATATGTTTTGATACTACGTTTGGATCTTCCTCCTGTAGAGGAACACGCTAGATTTAAGTGTACAGCCGAGGCCCGACCAGAAAGAACGCCAGGTGAGGAACGAAACCCCTCGTCTTGGCCCCAGAAGCGCCTAGGTGCACGAGGAGGAGGCTCGACCCTCGCATTCATCCAGGAGGCTCCTGACCCAAGATGTAACTGCCACGATCGATCGTATAGAGCGCTCGCTCCCTGTGGGGGATCGTCGCAGTGGCGCAAGCCACCCGAGCAAGGAACGGCGCCCTCTGGGGCCCCCGAAGCGCCTGGGTGCACGAGGAGTGATCGAGAGGAGCAGCCATGGAAGAGCTCGAGGAGCAGCAAGCCTTAGGTCGGGCGTGTCCCCCTGCAGGCGTATTTGGGAGGATTCTCTGTTATGCTTATTATTATTATTAGTAGTAGTATTATTATTACCACTATTACTATTACTATTATTATTATTATTATTACTATTAGTATTATTATACTATATTATATATATATATAAACGCAAGAATGCTCAAACATGCTCAAAATAGTCAAACAATCGCCCACTGACTATCACTTGACTAAAATGTTCCTCCAGTAGAAGGACAGGCCCGACTCAAAGCGAGCCCCGTCTGAGCCGCCCAGAGCGGCCCTTGCTTCAGCGCCTCGGCTGCGCGGGAGCCGCGTGCGGACTGCAGGCGCCATCGGGGTACTTCCGAGGGCCCCCGCGCAGGCCCCCCCCCCCCCCCCGCCTTCTCGGGAGGCCGGCCCCGCCTCGCGCCCCCCCCCCCGCGCGGGCAGCCGAGGGGCGGTGGAGCGGAGGAAGAGGGAGGAGGAGGGAGGGAGAACCCTGCGCTCCCGATAATAATCCCCGTGGGATAATTACGCTCGGGGGTCCGACGGGGATAATCCACGATTTTCCCGGGGGAGGTGATGTTAGTTAAGTTATGATGGTGATGGCGATGATGGTGATGGCGATGCCGATGATGATGAGGATGATGATGATGGTTCTGGGCGGTCGTGTAAGCTGACCCTGTGAAACTTGGCACAAGACTGATTCGAGAGATCCCGAAGGTCGAGGCTCTTGGCGCAAGACTGCTCGAAAAACGCACGCAACATCAAAATGTAATCGGTCCTCATGGCCCTGCCACACGTTCCTGACTCGGGAATGGCTGAGAAAGTGATAATCCCATGGCCCTGCCGCACGTTCGTGACTTGGGCAAACTGAAATGGTGAGAATCCCGCAACCCTGCCACACGCTCGTGATTGCGGAAGCTGACATGGTGAGACCACCATGGCCATGCTCACAATTTGTTGATGCTGTTGCTAGTCAACATGAGATGATAGCAACTTCGATTCGCAACTTCCCCTGGGGATTATCGAGATTGGCCTCCGCGCCCCTCTCCACAATTAAATCCTATTGACACAGGATTAAGAAATAGAGGGGGGAAAGGGGGGGGTACATGTTTATCGGGAGCACGGGGTTATGGGGAAGGAGGGCGAGGAGGAGCAGGAGGAGGGGGGAGGGAGAGAAGGAAGAGGGAGGAGGAGGGAGGAGGGTCAGGAGAAGGAGGATGAGGAGGAGCGTGAGGAGTGGGAGGTCTCTTGACTCCCTCTGTCCTGTCTTCTCCGCTGCAGCTCCTCATTCTCCTGCTGCTCCTCCAGGCGCGCCCTGGAAACCCGAAGGAGCGCCCGGAACCTCATAGCCCCTTCTTCCAACCCCTCCCAGAGCACTCGCGAGACCCCGAAAGGGTCCTCCCAAAGAGCCCCCGGCACCATAGGCACCCCCCTGAAGCACCAAAGCATCAGCACAATCTCGACCGGACCCCCTTCTCAAAGGAGCAAATCTACCGATACCGCCACCTTTCCCCCTGTTCTCCCCTTTTTGGGCCTCCTGGGAGGCCCTCGTGGCCCCGAGTGGGTTCGCCTCGACAGCTGGTCAGAACGCACCCCGGGAGAAAGCCTTGGGAGCAGCGGTACCGGTACCTTTTGCTACCCCCTCTTGACCCCACCTCTCTGCGGCAGCACTCCAACCGGTGGGCCCGTGAGCCCGTCCCCCGAGGGGCCAGAATCCAGGCGGCAACGACCGGTGTGCATGCAAACCGTCGACGCCGGAGGCCCAAAGGGAAGCCCAAAAGCACATGGCCGGTTCCGGAAACCCTGGGGCCGAAAACGCTCCCATCTGTTGGGGGCGCATGTCTTGCTTCCGCTCCTGCTCCTCCTGCGCGCTCTTTTCTTCATCGGCAAAGTAGCGCACATGTTTTGCTTCCGCCGGCTTTCGCCCGCGGAGGCGACCCCGCTTTACTTCTGCCACCTTCCGCCGCCCTTCCGCCAGGGGAGACCTGCCAACTCCTTCGATCCTCGAAGGCGAGGGCCTCTCCTTGCCATCGCTCGGACGTCCATATTCCCCGTGCATCTGCTGGTGTCGTGCGCTTTTTCTCCGCCAAAGATGATCCAAGGTGGTCATCCATGGCCCTCCCTGGGAACAAATGCACACGTCCGAGCGATGCCGAGTTTCTGGAGCGCCCCATACGTCAAGATGAGGACGACACCGACCAGGCAACGCTAAGGTCAGGTCTGGCGTGTCCCTTACAGGCGGATTTTGGACGGACGAAACACAAAAAATAGCCAAACAATGCACCAAACGAGTCACAAATCATCAAAACATCGTCCCCTATATGATTTTTGACTGTTTTGGAATATATTCCTCCTGTAGAGGGACAGGCCCGCCTTGACGCTAAGGGGGGTCACCGCGAAGGGGGGCGCCGCCCCCACCAGGCGACGGTCCCCCCCCAATGCCCCCAGACGCTCCCAGGAACCACAGAGACACCCAGAGACACCCAAGACCTCCTCGATCTGAGCTTTTTTAAGCAGGATCGAGTAGGAGGGGGAATGCAGGATCGATCGTGGATCAATGATCGATCCCCCCTACTCGATCACCAGGAGGCGGTGACCGCCGCAGCCAAAACCCCCAATGTCGTGATTGTTCACCACGTCGATCCTCAGAAATCCCCACCACTCGCCCAGGACTTGCTTCTCGCTCTGGCTCGTTCTCTTGACGGTTCTGGATCCTGGGATGGCCGACCAAAGCTGAACACAGTCAAGAACAATCCGCCGTTACTTTTTTCAGGACGCGAAGGCGTCTGAGAACGCCGACGCCTTCGCCGTCGCCGTCGCCGTCGTCGTCGTCGTCGTCGTCGTCGTCAGCTTCGCCGTCGCCGCCGTCGCGGCGCGTGGGGCCTTCGGAGTCGGCGGCGGCGGCGGCGGTGCCGGGGCCGACTCACCGAGGAAGGACGAGAGGCCCCCGAACAGGCTGGACAGGCCGAAGGAGGCCTCCGGGAGGCGACGGCAGGAGAAGGAGCAGGGGCGAAGCAGCAAGGAGAGGTGAGGAGGAGGAGGAGGAGCAGCAGGAGGAGCAGGAGGAGGAGGAGCTGGAGGAGGAGCAGGAGGAGGAGCAGGAGGAGCGGGAACAGATGGAGGAAGAGGAGGAGGAGGAGGAGGAGGAGGCGGGGGAGGATGAGAAGGGTGGAGGAAGGAAGGAGGGAACAATGAGGAAGGCGTACGCAAGAATGGGGAGGCAAAGAGCAAGGAGGGAGGGAGGAGGACCGATGAGCCAGGAAGGAGGGCGGAGCCAGGGTGACGAGAGAAGAAGGCGTGGACGCGCAACGCCTTCGGCACCTGCATGCCGCCCTCCTCGAACAGGTCCTGGTGGCTGCGCCCTGGCCTCGTCCGCACGCGCACCTGGTAGGGCGGCGTGGCGTAGGAGGCCACCTGCAGATCCTTCACCTAGGCAGGAGGAAAGGGGACGAAGAGGAGGAATTGTATCCCTCCCCCCCACCCCTTCTCCCCTTCTGCATTGTTCCGAATCCCGGGAAGGCACCCCAGAGCCCCCGAAGAGACCCGAAGACGACTCCCAGAGAGCCATCTGGCACACGAGCACAACACCACTCGCTACGACCAAAAAATGGCACGCGACAACGAAGACAATGTACGGGGACCGGCGGAGTGAGGGAAGCGGCTCAATCATATCTACCCTCAAGCCGCCGCGTCTTGGAAGACACCACGGGCGTCTTCACCCCCACTTCGGGGCGGCCTGGCTGCAAACACGTCGTAGGGGCCCCAGCTGCATTTGTTTCGCGACGACGCCGTTGTTCGTGAAATATCTGTAGGGAAGAAGAGGGAAGGGATGACTTTACCTTATTGTGCTACTGATGGCCTTGCTGAGTCGCCACGTCGCCACGCCTGGATGCGCCCCGAATGCTCTTGCCAGAACGCATCCTCGGCAGAGAGGCTCCAGGATGGGGTCCTGAGGGATGGGGTCCTGAGGACGAGGTGCCCCAAAACCATGCAGATCCACCCATGGATCCCTTCAGACCCTCAGGACCCCATCCCTCAGGACCCCCATCCTTGAGCTACCGAGGCTCCGGGGGATCTGAGCTGGACGACGGGCCCCGAGCAAGCCCGCCAGAGAGGGCGGGGCGCCGCGCGGCGAGCAGAGGCGCGCCGTGGCTCTGGCCAAGAGGAGGCCGACCCGCGGGGGACAAGGCGCAGGGGCCTCGGTCACCTGCCGCTCCTGCGCACGACGCTGGGCCCGAGTGAACTCTAGAGGAGGGAGAATGAAACTGCACGTGCGCCAGGATCGGTGTACGTGCCTAGGCCTGCTCGCCCGAGAACCCTGTCCCTCGGCGAAAGCCTAGCAAGGGGGGGGGCGACTGCAAATCGGCCCAACAGCGGTCCTCGGAGCCCCTCGCGGGGTCCGGGCGCACCAGCTTCTCGAGCCGCGCCCTTGCCGCGGCGACGAGACGCCTCCGGGACGTCCACGCGGGGCATGAACGCGCCAGGGGGGCCCCCGTCAAGAGGTCGGTCCCCTGACGTGTCCTGCTTTTGCCCCTTTTGGGCCCCCCTCCCTGCTGGCCGGAACCAGTGCCTGAAGGGGTCCCCTTGCGGACAGCAGAGAGGGGGGGGCAAGTGCCCTCCCCCATGCTGGCTGGAACCAGTGCTGGGTCGCCTCAGACCCCCAGCAGATTCCAATGAGGATGGCTCGCACCTCAAGACGCGCCACGCACGACACGCGCGCGTGCCTACCATGCTTTTCTTTGGGCGTCCTGGCTGCAGCCCTTCATAGAGAGCAAGAAATCCACCCTCATAATAAGCACCCCGGCAAATGACGCCATTTAGGACACGCGCCCAAGGAAGGAATCGAACAGGGCAGGGCCGTTTAGTAAACGCACAGGGCTGTTTAGTAAACGCCAATTATTGGGGTCGGGGTGGCATCCCTCGACTTCAGGAGGCGCCTCGAGGCGCCCAAGACGGCCCAAGCGTCACCCAGGACGGCCCAGAAGGGCCCGAGGCCCAGGACGATCCCAAAAGGAACCCGAGAGAGGGAACACGAACCGAAAATCCGCGCCTTCCGCCCCAAGAGGCCCCCAGGAGGCCCCCAGAGGCGCCAAGGAGGCCCCAAGAGGCTTCAAAACTGCCTCCAAGAGGCCCACGAGAGGTCTTCAACGAGATCCCAACGAACATCCAATGGGCTTCATACCCACAACCCAGGCACGGTGGCGGGATGGGCCAAAAGCCATTAGATCCGCCACCCCCTGTTGGCTTGTCACAAGGGTGCCCAGCGTGCTGGATCCTTTCGCTTTTGGTTCTTTTAGAAATCCCCCTGGGGCTTCGGCCCGTCCCGCTGGCACGACAAAAGGAGCCGTCAACTCTCCAGGTCGTCGGTCTTCCCGCGCCAGACGGCCCCAAGATGGTTTGCACATGTTTCCAAGGCGGCCCAAGATGCACCGAAGACGACCCAAGGTGGCTCCAAGATGGCCTCAGACTGGCCAAGAGGCCCCCAAGAGGCCTCCAAGTCGTCCTCCAGGAAGGCCCGAAAGGGCAAACATTATTGATTGTCCTTAGGTCTTTGAAGGATTTTAGCATGTTCTTCTTATCAGCTCTCCGACGGCCCAAGAGGCCTCCACCATCGTCCCAAGAGCGCCCAAGAGGCCTCCAAGATGGCCCCATGACAGCCCAAGAGGCCCCCACTCCAAGACGGCGAAGCCACCTGGTCAGATAGCTCGCCCGACTCCGTTTTCCCCGAAAGCTTTCGAAACCCACTCGGGGAACGCGTGGCCCGATAGCTTGGCCAAGCTCAAACCCAACTTTCGGTCACGCAGGCGCTTCCAAAAAGGTAGGGGGCGGCGGTGATTCGCCGTAGGCGTCTTCGATCCGCCGCCCCCCGTTGGCTTGCCACAGGGTTGCCCAAGGTGCTGGATCCTTTCGCCTTTGGTTCTTTTAGAAATCCCCCTGGGGCTTCGTCCCGTCCCGCCGTCCACCCGGAAAGGCGCGCAAAAGTGCCCAAAAGGTGGCTGCAAAGCGTTTTCGCCTCCAGACGGCTCCAAGATGGCCCAAGCTGGCCTCCAAGATGCCTCCAAGATGGCCTCCAAGACTGCCCAGGAGGTGTCCAAGAGGCCTCCAAGACGGCCCAAGAGGCCTCCGAAAGGTCCTCCAGGAGGGCCCGAAGATGCTAAAATCATTGATTTTCCATAGGTTTTTGAACGATGTTCAAATTTGCTCTTTTTCGGCCTTCCGACGACCCAAGACAGCCCAAGAGGCCCCCAAGATCGCCCCCAGAGCGCCCAAGAGGCCTCCAAGATGCCCTCAGGACTGCCCAAGAGGCCTCCGAGACCCAAGAGGCTTCGAAGACACCCAAGGAAGCCTCCAAGGCTGCCCTGGAGCACCCCAAGAAGGCCCTGAGTCGGCCCAGAAAGGCCCTCAAGAGGGCTTCCGACGGCGTCAGACGGGCCAGGAGCCCACCAAGACGGCCCAAGATGGCTCTAAGATGGCCTACGACGCCTCCAAGAGAGCCCTCAGGAAGGCCCGAAGAGCCCAAAATCCTTAACTGTCCTTGAAGGATTTTGGCATGTGTTTCTTTTCGGCCCTCCGACTGCCCGAGACGGTCCAAGAGCCACCAAATATCGCCCAAGAGGCCACATAACTGCCCAAGAGGCCCCAAGACGGCCCCCAGAGGGCCCATCGACGGCCCAAGAGGCCTCTAAGACGCCCAAGACAGCTTCCAAGACGGCCCTGGAGCATTCCAAGAGGGCCCCAAGTCGGCCCAGAGAGGCCCCCAAGAGGGCTTCCGACGGCGTCAGACGGGCCAGGAGCCCACCAAGACGCCCGAAGATGGCCCTAAGATGGCCCAAGACGGCCCAAGAGGCCGCCAAGACGGCCGTGGAGCACCCCAAGAGGGCCCCAAGTCGGCCCAGAGTGGCCCCCACGACGGTTTCCGACGGCGTCAGACGGGCCAGGTGCTCATCAAGATGGCCAAAGAGGCCCCCGAGAAGCCCGCGAAGGCCCCCAAGAGGCCTCCAAGAGGGCCCCCAAGATACCTCCAAAAGGCTCCCAGGAAGCTCCCAGGAGGCTCCAAGAGTGCCCCCGGAGGCTCCCAAGATGCCCTCCCTCCTCCTCCTCTTCCTCCTCCCTCCTCCTCCTACTCCTCCTCCTCCTCCTCCTCCTCCTCCTGTCCTCTCCTCCTCGTCCCTCCTCCTCCTCCTCCTCCTCCTCCCTCCTCCTCCACCTCCTCCTCCGCCTCCTCCTGATCTTCGCCGCCATCCTCCCCCACGTGTTCCCCGAAGGGTTTCCACAACGTCTGGGGGAACACATGGCCCGATAGCTTGGAAGAGCTCTTGCCACAACGCCCGGCCACATGGGCGACTCTAGAAGGCAGGGGGCGGCGGTGACTCGCCGCAGGCGTCTTCGATCCGCCGCCTCCTGTTGATTCATCCACCGGTGTGCCTGGCGTGCTAGACCCTTCTGGTTTTGTTCTGGTTATTTTTCCGAAAGAGCCCTCCCTTGAGCCTCCGGTCCGTGCCGCCGGGTTCCGGGAGAAGATGGTCGCCATGCCTCCTCCCCAACGGCCGTCTCGATAAGGACATCCCCAGACAGTTGCGATGTTGGGGTCCAGCTGGCCCAAGATGGCCTCCAAGACGGCCCAAGAGGGTCCAAGATGGCGTCGACTCCACCCAAGAAGACTCCAAGGTGGCCCAAGACGGCCCAAGAGGCCCCCAAGAGGCGTCCAAGCTGGCCCAAGAGGCCTCCAAGAGGCTTTCCAGGAGGGCCCGAAGAGGCCACAGTCATTTATTTCCCGTAGGTTTTTGAAGGATAGTGGCATTTGTTTTTTATCGGCCCTCCGAGGGCCCAAGCGGTCCTGCTCCTACTCCTCTTCCTCCTCCCCTCCCTCTCCTGATCCCCCCCCTCATCATCCTCCAAGTATTCCCCCACATGTTCCCAGAATGTTTGGGGGAACACATATTTCGAACGCGAAAGATAACCGTACCCTTACCTAGACAGGGTGGCAAGGGGCCGGGGAGGCGGTTTGTCGCAGCTGACGGCGGCTGCACCAATGTAGAAACGACAGCCGATCGAGCATTGCAGACCGCTGTCTTCTCGGGCCGCACGTTAGCACCGATCGCACGTGCGTTCGAATCGGCGGAGTGCCCGACCCTGCGTTGGTTGTTGTCGATGTGGAACAGCTATTGCGGGGGCGCGCCCCCAGACACACATCCGGGCGTTGAGGAGTCAACGCGCACTCGGGGGCGCATGCGAACAACTCTGGCGCGAACGTCATTGCGCGACAACCGCCCTATCGCGAATTGCTCGATGCAGAGACATCGCGAATCTGTGTCCTGGGCGAGGTCGCCAGAGGCCGCCCCCCTTGGACGGCCGTCTGCGGATCACTCCAGCTAGGTACGGTTGCCCCATGAAAACCGAAAAACATACCCGTACCTAGCCGGGGTGCCGCAGCTCCACCCCAGCTAGGTCCGGGTATGTTTCGGTGGTTTCAAGCAGGTCCCCGTACCTAGCCGAGGTGGCGGCAGGCCCAAAACGCTCTCGAGCACATATCATGCCTCCAGAGCCGTCCCCGACGTGGCCGCTGCGGCCCCCTGGGGGGCGGACATTGCAACGTCGTTCCTCAGGGCAGGCCCAGACGCATTGGTTGCCAGGATAGCGAGAAAATGCAACTCTTTATCGATTGGGACAGGCGCCACCACATATGGGCGGCTTTGAGCCGCGACCGAACCACGATGCCCCGAGACGTCCCTAACAAAAACCAGCGCTTGTCGTTGCAATCAGACGTACTGTTTGCATTCTTGGTCCGGATGGCCAAGATCCCTTTTGTAGAACATGCGCTAGGGTGCGAATGGCCGTGCTCTCGCCCGTCTTTTGAGCCAACCGCCTACTCCTTGACCCGCCTCCTCAACTGTGCTGCTATCAGGTTGCTTTGACGGGGGTAACTTTGCCACCCGCGGAGCGCCCTGTGGCAGAGAGATGGGGCGCAGGAGGAGGAGGACAAGGAGGAGGAGGATGAGGAGGAGGAGGAGGAGCTGGAAGACACTCGCAAATTCAGGTCGATCTGCAGCCCGTCCCCGATCAGGATCCGGCCAGGGCCTGATCCTGCCAGCAAGCTCGGCTCCCTCTGCCGATTGAAGTGGCTGTCGTCGATCGGCGATACCGAAGTGCCCACCCACTGCGATAGACGATCGAAATATCTACCGACGATCGAAATGCCTCTCGACGATCGATCCCAGGCTGCCGATCGGATCGGCGGTCCACGACCCACGATCACGAGGACGAGGAGGAGGAGGAGGAAGAGGAGGGGAAGGAGAGGCTCCAGTCCCGGCGCATCGTGGCCCCCTGAGCCCTCAACGCTGGCCGCCTCGAACGTGTCGTTCGAAGGGCCCTGCTTGAGCACCACGTCGTACAAGCCGGGGGGGCCCCTCACCTGAGCGACGGAAAGAAACGGGTCTTGCGCGCGATGACGGGGCCAACTTACGTGGTGGCTCACGCGGGCCGCCAGCGTGGCATGCGATATTTGAGATAAGGACCATTACGCGTACTCTTACGCCAAAAGCGTACGTGCGAATGTCCGCGAAGTCGAACCCGTTGTTCTGCGTCGCCCTTAGTTTACGTTAAAAACGCTGGGGGGCGTATTGTCCACCGTTCCCACATGTTGGGCTCCCAGCCAACCAAGACGGATAAAAACGGCAATCCGAAAAAACACCGCAATACACAACGGAACCGAAGCAACAACGGCGCAATCGAGAATCCATAAAAAGGAAACAGCTGAAACCAAAACTGAGAAGAACAAAAGACATGTTGACCTCGACAACGAACAAAACAAAACGTCCCAAGCGCTGTGAACATCATCGAAGGCGTCGCCCACCTGGAAGTAGCCCAGGTTGCCCATGACGATCGTGTCGTCGAATGCAGCCTGCGCCCCCTTCGGCAGCACCTCGATCTGCAGCCCCTTGGCTGGGGCCGTTGGCCAGCCGTCCGGGCCGAGGATGAAGGCCTGTCCCTCCACGTACAGGGAGCGCAGCTCGTAGGTCGTCTCGCACACCTGGTGGAGCAACCAAACATACGTAAGCATGCAAAACGTTCGGGGGTCCGCGCAGATTTCGTGCATCGGCGCTGGACCCCCCCCGTTCCCTGGCGCGCAGATCGCGCCAGGAACGGCGCCTGAGGCGCCGCTGGGGAGAGGGGGGGGGGCACGGCAACGATCCCAGACATCCTCGCAGACCTCCGAAGGCTTATGCTCACAGTAGACACATAGGACAGCAAATCTTGCTGCAAGGAATCCTGGGGTACATTCTTCGTGAATGCGAAAGAGTCCGAAGGTGCCCTGGCGCTTCTATGGGTCCCTGGGGCCATCCGGAGATGTGACATCTCCATTGGGCACCTGATGGCAGGCAGATTCCTGATGCAATGTGAGCGGCGCAGAGAAACGGGCCCGACGCAAGACAACGTGGTGACCTGATGTGGCGGATTGCGCGGGCCGCCAGAGCGGAAAGCTAATCACACTGGAGACGATGGCCCTTACGCGCGGCCTCATGCGGGCAGCGCGCTCGCGAATGAGGGCGCAATCGGGCCTGTTTTTCTGCGTCGTTCGTGCGTCTACAATGCGCCGACTTCCTTTCTTCGACGTAGGTCGTCTCGCCCACCTTCCCGTCGCCCACGCCCACAAGGCGCAGGTTGTCCATGTCGTGTTCCGCCTCCTGCGCCGTCACGAGCCACGTCGGCATCACGTGCACCGCGGCCGTGAGCGTGTGCCGCGTGGCCAAAGGCACCTCTGAAGGAGGAACGTACCGTGAATTTGAATGCTGCCGCACACCAGTACGTGGCGACGATGCCGCACATACAAATGCCCTGCGTGCGAGATCTTGGAACTTGTGGTCTTTCACCTGGCGGTGGCGCCTGTGGTGAACCACTAGGTGCCCTCGGTGCCCGATTAAACAATTATTAATGGTTGGTAGAATAAGTATTCCAAATCCCTTATTAATCGTCCTCCGGGCTCGGTGTTTTAAGGCGTTTTTTTTTGTAACTGGGGGGTCCGGTTTACCAGGGCGCTTCATTTGGATTGGAGCTGAAGGGGTCCGTTTAATTATTAATGTTCAAAAACGGTTACAACAATTATTTTGGGGGGACAGTTTAAAACATGATTTTCCCCAGCGCTGTAATGCGCCTATAGAAAACAAAAGGGAGGCGGGGCAAACTGGATCGCTGGAAACGTCCCCGCGACCTCCCTGGCGCCCTGCGCGCAAGGGCAGATTCCTGCGCACCCCCTCTTGGCGTCAGGCCACGCCTGCCACGCCCTGCGACCCCAGCGTGGATAGAGACTGCGCTCAAGGACCACTCCGCGCGCACCGCGCACCCTGTCTGGGTTGCGAAGCGGCACTGAATATGCAAATGCGGCACGCCGCTGACAGATTTTATACAACGGAGGCGATGTTTAACTCCAAAACCCAATCGCGAGAACCCAATGTAAACACTCATTCTTTGATCGGAAGACGGGAACATCCCAATGTGGATATACGGCGTCGAATGCAAAAAATGCCAACCGCCAGCGCGCGCGCGGCGGCGGCATGCCGGTGATCGATTGCACACAACGGGGCGAAATTTCGCGCGCGCGGCGGCGACATGTCGCTGATAGGTTTTTTTACAACGGGACGAAATTTGATGTCCAAAACCGAATGGCGAAGACCCAGTGTAGCAATTCATTTTCTGATCGGAAGACGGGAACATCCCCGTGTGGATATACGACACTGAATGCTAAAATGCCAATCGCCAACGCGCGCGCGCGCGCGGCGGCGGCATGCCGCTGATAGATTTGATACAGCGGGAGCGATGTTGCATTACAAAACCCAATGGCGAAAACCCAATGTAACAATTTCGTTCTCTGATCGGAAGACGGGAACATCCTAATGTGGATATACGACACTGAATGCACGCATGCCAATCGCCAACGCGCGCGCGGCGGCGGCATGTCGCTGATAGATTTTGTACCACGTGAGCGCTGTTGAACTCCTGCACCCAATGGCAAAAACACAGTGTACAAATTCATTATCTGATCGGAAGACGGGGACATCCCCATCTGGATATACGACACTGAATGCAGAAATGCCAATCGCCAACGCGCGCGCGCGCGCGCGCGCGAGCGGCGGCGGCATGCCGATGATAGATTTCTATACAAAGGAAGCCATGTTGAACTCACAACGCATTGGCGGAAACTCCATGTAAAAATTCATTGCGCCAACGCACGCGCGACGGCGGCATGCCGCTGATAGCTTTATACAACAGGAGCGAGGGTGAACTCCAAAATCCACTGGCGAAAACCAAATGTAAAAAATCATTCTCTGATCGGAAGATGGGGACATCCCCATGTGGATATACGACACTGAACGCAAAACTGTCATTCGCCAACAGAGGTGGCGGCGGAATACCGCCAATAGATTTTATGCAAAGGGACAAAATTTAATTCCCAAAACCAAACGGCGAACACCCAATGCAACAATTCATTATCTGATCGGGAGACGGGAACGTCCCCATGTGGGTATACGACACTGAATGCACAAATGCCAATCGCCAACACGCGCGCGCGCGGCGGCGGCATGCCGCTGATAGACTTGATACAAAGGGGGCGTTGTTGCACTCCAAAACCCAATGGCGAAAACCCTATGTAAAAGTTCATTCGCTGACCGGAAGACGGGGACATCCCCATCTGGATATGCGACACCGAATGCACAAATGCCAATCGCCAACGCGCGCGCGGGCGCGCGCGCGCGCGGCGGCGGCGGCGGCGGCGGCGGCGGCGGCGTGCCGCTGATTTGTTTTATACAGCGGGGGCGACGTTTAACTCCAAAACCCAATGGCCCAAACCCAATGTAAAAATTCACTCAGATCGGAAGACGGGAGCATCCCCATGTGGATAGACGACACGGAATGCACAAATGCCAATCGCCAACGCGCGCGCGCGCGCGCGCGGCGGCGGCATGCCGCTGATAGGTTTGATATACAACGGGAGCCATGTTGAACTCAAAACCAAATGGCGAAAACCCGATGTAAAAAATCATTCTCTGATCGGAAGAAGGGAACATTCCAATGTGGATATACGACACTGAATGCACAGGTGCCAATCGCCAACGCGCGCGAGCGCGCGCGCGCGCGGCGGCGGCATACCGCTGATAGATTTTATACCACGGGAGCGATGTTGAATTCCTAAACCCAATGGCGGAAACCCAATGTAAAAATTCATTCTCCGATCGGAAGACGGGAACATCCCCATCGGCATTTTCCCTGGTACCGAGGTATATACAAGTGGCATCGATCGGCATCCATGAAATTCTTTCCAGGTGGGACATCTGAATCAACAGTTATTCGGATGCGAATTAGTGGCAGTCGGGATCCGGGGGATCATTTTTTTAACCGGTTTTAGACATTAAGGCGCCCCGTCGTGGAGGGGTCTGGTTGTTAGGGGGGTCGATTCATAAGGGATTTTGTAAACTCGCCAGCGAAGAACTACTTTTCGCATGATTGTATTCGGCGGTGGTCGTCAGCAACTGCCCCACATAACGAAACTAAGCGAACTGGAAGAGAAAGTAGGAGTAGGCGGGGGGCAGCTCAGGGGAGGAAGCATCGAGCTTGAATAGGCCCCGCATTGCCCATAGATCGTCGATAGGCCTCCGAGAGCGAAGCCGCACGTTCTTGGGCGGGTGAGCTTGGACGGTTTCCCCTGGGGCCGTAGGCGACCCGAGGAGGGGAAGGCGAGGAGGGGGAGGAGGAGAGAGGAGGGGAATGAGGAGGAGAAGGAGAAGGAGGAGGAGGGGGAGGAGGAAGAGGAGGAGAGAGGAGGAGGACGGGTCTCCTAAGCCCTGCGGAGAAACCCTCCAGGTGAGCTATGAGACCCCCATCGGCGATGAAGGGGCGATTGGGGGTCGGTACGTCCCCCGCTAAGCCAAGCGATCCCCCTATCGTACCGTTGCCCCTGAGCCTCGGCCCGGCCCCGGCCGGCGTCGCCGAAGCCCTCGACCTCCTCCACCCTGCGGCCGTCTGCAAGGCGGGTCGGCCACCGAATGACTTCCCTGTAGTAGCGCTTCAGGGGGTACTCGCTGTGGCGGGCGTTCGGGTTCAGGAGCAGGTTCACCTCCGGACAGGAGAACACCGCAGACACACGAACTGTCGAAGGCTCGCGCGGACCTCTCGGATCGGCACCAGACCCCCCTCCCTGGTAGCCGGCGTGGCACTCCGAAAGCTTACAGTCGGACCCAGGACCGACGAGAACGTCCTTCAAGAACATGAGACCCTCCGCTGGCCCAAACGAAGAGCATTCGAGGGTACTCCACCCCCAGGATGCACAAGAACATCCAACAAACACGAAACACGCTAGGGTACCCTCCCCGAAACGACCTCGATCTTGTATGCCTCGGCCCGACTGTCTGTTTACGCAGTGGTCTGGCGGCTTCGTCGAGCCTCGGCGTTGAAGGTCATGCCGAACAGCGCCAGCACCGCTGACGCCGACTGCGCCGTCGGGCTCAGTGGGTCCAGGATGCCGTAGACCTTGATCGGTGACGCGGCCTGGTGGGAAAACCCAGAGACACCGATACGCGTCGGTCGGAAGAAGTAGGTAAAAACATGAAGGAGGAAGGCAAGTCAAGGAGGTTGGGTTCAGCCCCTCCCAGAAGATAAGCAAACACGGCAACAGCATATCGATTCTCGAAGTAGGAAGGCGCTGGAAGTAGAGTGGGATCCGGGAGTCCAGAAATACCTACTATCTGAGACTGGCGTGCACATCCACTTCCCATCGCTCGGACGTCCATTCCTCGTGCATTTGTCGGTTTCGTGCGTGCTTTTTTGGGGCCAGATGATCCAGGAAGCTCCTCGATGGTCCTCGCCGAGAAAAACTCACACGCCCGACCGATGCCAAGAAGGATACTGATACCGCTACTCCCCAGACCTCTCCCCAGGTGCATTCTGACCAGAACAGGGGCATCTGTACTGACGAAGGGTCACTCGGTTTTCGGGTCATAACTCGGGCCTCCGGCGGCCATTCGGGTCGATTCGGACACCCTCTGAACGCTCTCGGCGAGCCGCAGCTGCTGGAGCGCATCCCGAGGCTGGAAAACCGCCCAGGAGCGACGAAAACCTTCGAAGACCTCGAACCTCGAGAACCGCGCGGCCGACGCGGCGCCCTCGACTTTGCCTCCGCGCACGGCCTCCGGCCGCGCGGGGGGCACCTGCACGCGGAAGGCGGGCGGCGCGATCTCGAAGACCTGCCTGGGCTGCGTGTACTTCGCGCCGCCCTGCGAGAGCGCCTCGGAGCGGATGGCGGCCACCAGCCCCTGGGCCTGCGGCGACAGCACCTCGAGGGCCCCGGCCGCGGCCTCCTCGGCCACGAGCTCGAACAGGGCCTTCGTCGACTGCGGAGCCGCCTCCCCGTCCTCGTCGTCCTTGGAGCAAAGAGGGGGCGCACGGACAGAAACGTCCAGATCTCGGAGCGAACCTCGTGGATCGGCGCCGAGCCTTCCTGGCCCCTGGCGCGCTCGGCGCGCCACGGGGGGGGTCCAACGGCGCCGATCCGAGGTCCGGAAGTCATGTTCATGCCGCTCCTTCCTGGAACATTGTCTGCCCGATCCCTACCCCCACTGGCGTGGCCTGGGCATCACCGGTCGACTTACACACCCAGGTGGGGATCTATGATCTTGGGCTCCGGGCCCACGGGCGCTCGCCCAGATGGGGTGGGTCCCAGGGCCCCCCACCTTCCCTGGATGGGATGGGGGGCGATGACGACGACGACAACGACGACGGGGTGAAGACCTCCTCCGACTCCATGGTGGGGGTGGGCCCACCACGCCCCGCCCAAGGGGGGGGGGCCCATCGCGCCAGAGGGGCCCCCGAAGGCATCAGCATGACAGGGGGGGGGCTCACACCCTGGATCAGCTGCGCCTGTTCCTTGGAGTTTTTCGCGGGGCCTATCCCGGGAGGGTGGGCCTGTGGCGCTGCGATGCCATGGCCCAGTGGGCATCGGGATCGCCAGGCTGCACACGAGGCGGAGTCCTCGGCCGCCCCCCCCCCGCGGCTGCTGACGTCGTACTGCGCCTCCAGCAGCTCCAGGGCCTGCACGTGCCTGGCGGAGATCGGCTGCCCCCCTGCCGCCAGCGAGACCTGGGCGACGATCGAAACGACCACAGGTCTTACTACGCGAGATGGCACCGCCACATTGCGGTCAGGTCGGGCGTGTCCCCCTTCAGGCGGATCTCGGGCGAAGGAAAAGAACTCTTACCATACATAAGCATTGCCAAAAAATGCTCGACACATCGTCCAGGACTACTTGTTTGACTATGTTTGAATATTCCTCCTGGAGAGGGGCAAGCCCGACTGAACCTTGCGGGGTGGCTCACGCGGACCGCCAGCGCGGCGCGCCGCACTGGGAAGAGGAGCGCCCACGCGCGACCCTACGCGGGCAGTCCACGGTCCACGGGACAGTGTCGGTGAAGACGACCTGTCTTTCTGCGCACCCGCCTGGCGCCCGTTGCACACCCACAGCGCGCTGCCGCGCTCCCCCGCCGCCGCGGCCGCCGCCGCCAACAGCGGCGACCCGCTCAGCCGCGCCGCGCCTTCGGCCGACCGGGCGGCCGCGATCGCGCCCCGCACGAGCGCCCGGTGGTCTGGGTCTATCTTCTTCTCCACCGCGAGCTCGCACAACTCTCGCACCCGCTCCTCTGGACGTCCACCGCGGCCACCGGAAAAACAGGTGCGATGTCCAACAACAAGTGTTGCCCAGATCCAACAGAAGCCGCTGTTGGGCAGGCGAGCCTGTGTCTCAAATGGGCAACCCGCGCGGCGACACAGTAAGCGAAGCCAATTAGATGGAAACTGCTGTTGGCCTTCGTCCCCATTCTTGCCGTACCATTTTCGGTCGTACCGAGCTCCCCTGGGAGGTCGCTGGCGGTGCCCAGGGCGGCAGGGAGCGCCTGCAGGCGAAGAAGGACTGGCATGACGACAACATTCCGGACGTCCGCGCAGATTTCTTGTAACGGCGCTGGGTCCCCTCCCTGGCGCGCGGAGCGCGCCAGGAGCGGCGCCGGAGGCGGTGCCAGGGGGGCCCAGGTGCCGATCCAAGAAGTCCGCGCGGAGATTCTTGTGCATGTCTACCAACAGCCATTCTAGTATGTTTCGTTTTTTTCGTTTTGTATACAATTGATCGCTAAGTAGTTTGTGTGATTTGTAACCTCATGCCCGTGAGAATAAACACTAGGGGATAATAAAGTTCGGGGTTCAGGGAGAGATAATAAAAGTAGCCCAGCAGACCTCAGCAGAATCTCGAAGTAAGAGATGATCAAGAGGAGACCAAGCCGAGCACGTTTTGAGACATCCTTGGCGTTTAGTTTTCATAGAAATATCCTCAACAATGGCTTATCTCGCTGGAGACATCCTCGACAAATCCCTTGTTTCGCTTGAGATAATCAACCCCAGAGATAAAAAAAGTTCAGGCGAGCGTGGGGACAGAGAGAAATATAAAAGAAGAAGAATACAGTAGAAGAATAATAAAAAAGAAGAAGAAGAGGATAATAAGAAGAGGACGAAGACAGGAAAAATCCAAAGTTCCAAATCTATCAATTTTAATTTACAAACGCTTTATGAACATTGATTTTTTAAGGTGCTCGTGTAGGGTAGCTCATGTGCTTCATTTTCCATGGATAATCAACCCCAGGGATAAAAAAGTTCAGGCGAGCGTGAGGACAGATAGAAATATAAAATAAGAAGAGGAAAGTAGAATAATAATAAGAAGAGAAGAAGAAGAGAAGAAAAAGAAGAAGAGAAGAATAACGGAAAAATTGCAGGTTCCAAATCTATCAATTTTAATTTACAACCGCTTTATGAAAATTGATTTTTTAAGTGCTCATGTAGGGTAGCTCATGTGCTCCCCTTTCCATGGGTAATCAACCCCAGAGATAAAAAAGTTCAGGCGCGCGCGGGGATAGATACATATATAAAAAAGGAAGATAATAAAAAAAGAATATAAATAAAAAGAAAAAAACTTGCTGGTTTAACTTGAAACATCCTTGAGACATCCTTGGAACACTGCTCGTTTCGTTTGAGTCTGCCTCCCAAAAATTTTGGTTTCGCTTGACACATCCTGAAAAAGTGTGATCGCTTCGCTTGATGTTGCTATATCAGCATCGCTTGATGTTGCTATCTCAACATAGCGTTTCGAGGTGATAATGAAGTTCGGCCTCAGCGCTCGCCGCCCACTTTGAATTTTGTATAGGGCGACGATAATCAACTCTAAACACTGAAGGGGGGTCCCTTTATTATCATCGGCATGCGGTTATTGTTCTGGTTTTGGTACTAACCTCATGAAGCAATTTAGGACCCCCTATGGTGAAACGATGACGCATCCAGCATGCGGAAGCGTTAACCTGAGACCCTGAGGAGGAGAGGAGCAGGAGGAAGAGGAAGAAGGAGAAGAAGAGAGGGAGGAGGAGGAGGAGGAAGACGAGGAGGAGGAGGAGGATGAGGAGGGGGAGGAGCAGGAGGAGGACAGGGAAGAGGAGGACAGGCAGAAGAAGGAGGAGGAGGTGGAGGAGGAGGAGGAATTTGGAGGACAGGGACGAGGAGAACAAGGAGGAGGAGAGGAGGAGGAGAAGGAGGAGCAATGCAAATCCAGGACTCATCAACGATGATGGAATACACCCTCCCTCCCAACTCCCTCTTGTATGCCGTTGGGGCGACAATCGTGTGAACATCTTGACGCGTGCGAGAAAAAGCATGCATAGGATTTCAATGCCACGAATCAACCTGCCTGTTGCGTCTTGACAGTCCTGAATCGTGCCATACCAGAATACCATTCCTGGGACTTCGACACCGCGAATCAACGTAACTGATGCGCCCTCATAATCCAGACTCGCTCCAACACACGATGTTTGGAATGTTAACCGTGAGAACCCGCGACACTCGTGCAAATTCTTGACATGAAACGAATGTGCGCGGCGCAAAAGCAAGAACCACATGTTGAAAAGAAACCGATCTCAATCCGTGAACCTCTTGCAAGTTTCAAGCGAATGCGCGGGGCGCTGAAGCGAGAACCACATCTTGAAAACCGAGCCGCCCTCCATCTGCGAGGCTCGTGCATGGTCTTCGAATCGTGCAATATCTTGAAACGAATGTACGGGGCGAAATGGCGAGAGCCACACTTTGGAAGCGGCCCGACCTCCATATGTGAAACTGCTGGCTGCTGAGCACGAGGAGGAGGAGGAGGAGGAGGAGGAGGAGGAGGAGGAGGAGGAGGAGGAGGAGGAGGATCGAGCTTATACGTGGTAGAGACGTCTCATACGAACGCACCGCCCGCCCTTCCGACTGGTCTCGGGGTGCGACAGGGAGGAGTTATCCGTAAGGAAAGAAAACGGATGATGATGATGAGGAGGAGGAGGAGGAGGAGGAGGAGGGGACGAGGAGAAGGAGGAGGAGGAGGAGGGACGAGAGAGGAGGGAAAAGGAGGAGAGGAGGAGCAGTGGGGAGGGAGGAGGAGGACGGGGAAGAGGAGGAGTAGGAAGAGACAGAGGAGGAAGCGGAGGAGGAGGAGGCGCAGGAGGAGGAGAAGGAGGAGGAGGAGGAGGAGGGGGGGACAGGGAGGAGGAGGAGGAGGAGGAGGAGGAGGAGGACAGGGAAGACGAGCACAGGGAGGAGGAGGAGGAGGAGGAGGAGGAGGAGGAGAAAGAAGGGGAGCAGGAGGAGGGGGAGGAATACGACAGGGAGGAGGAGGAGGAGGAGGAGGAGGAGGAGGAGGAGGAGGAGGAGGAACCTGGGTACGGCGACGCCGAGCTGGCATTCCAGCAGCCCTCGAAAGTGGCGACGGTCTCGCAGTTTTCACCCAGCAGGGATGGCGAGGTTCCGACAGCCCACCCTACTGAACCTTACCAAACAGATCACGCATGAGCCTGGGTATAGCAACCTACCAGACCGCCCACCCTACTAAGCAACTCGCAGCTACCCTATAACACAGCGCAACGACCGTGAATTACCAAACAGCTCCCAGCCACCCTACCAGACGGCGGCCCTATACAAGGCGGCCCACCCTACAAGACAGCGCAACGGCAGTCAACCCGCATAGTATGGATGAACGACTTTCCCAGGTGACCCTTGCATTCTTCCCCTTCGGCCCATCCTTGGCAACTTTTACTGACCGCACCCCGCGCGGAAAGTGTCGGCATGGCCTTTCGAGGCCCTTGCATCCTTGTCGTGCGCCTTGATTATGCGGGTTGGTTGCGTAGCACAACACAGCAGCACGTCCGCAGCGAGTTGCTGCTCTAGCGACCAGCGACACGTTCCAACTTCAGGCTTCTCAGCCGTGCGGGTCAACCCAGCTGCGTCAATCGCTGTTTTTTTTGCGGCAGCGTCAGCCATGGTGATCCAACATCGTCAGGTCGACGCCTTCAGCATGTGCGCGCGGATCACGATTGCACTGCTGATTGTTGTCAGCCTGCAATTCCAGCTTTGGTCAGTAACGATAGCGCAGAATTCGTATCTACTCGACTCAGTCAACCAGAAGTGCAACCTCATTGAGCGCAAGCTCATGGGCATTGAATTCAGCCCCTACGAGTGTCAGCGCCAGACCAAAGGAGCCATTCAGTGCTGGGTCATCAATGAGGACCCAGAGTACGCGCCCAGGCAGGCGCTTAAAAGAGCTGAGCCGCTACGCGCGTAATTTCCCTCAGCGCACAGGAGAGGAACGCAGTTCGCTTCAGCTCTGAATCATCGTGAACTCATTCGTCAGAGCCAGCGGGTTTTACGCGAGAGGAGAGTGCATCGAGGCCATGCGCCCGCACCTCAGAGCTTTCTGGCACGTTCAGTTCAACCACCCCTCACAAGCCGGCCATGATCACAACGCCAGGACTAGCAATAACGTCAGCGACCTGACGTAGGCTCCACAAGTGACTTCTACGCTCTCACGGACTGAGGGCGATGCAGTCTGCCGGCAGCTTCCGCCGGCCCTGACGGGGAGCAGGGGGGTGGGGGCGCGGGGGAGACTAGGTCAGGGGCAAGTGGGCTTCAGAATTGCGCGCGGCCGAGGGCGACGATGAGCCCACCGTACGGATTGTCCTAAGGGGAGGGGGGGGCGAGGCAGACGGGGGGAAGGGGAGCAACGGGGGAGGGGGGGGCAGGTGAGGGAGGGACTCGGTGCTCAGTCCCTCAGCGCTTCAGGCTTCAATTTTTCAATGCTGAACACTCGGTGCCTGCAGCGTTCAGCCGAGGATCGGCCTTCAGTGCTCAGGTTCTCCTGGGACCGCCGTCCTCTCAGAGTTCCCGCGCTCAGTTTGCATCGAGGGCGGAGCTGGCCGTTCAGCGTGGCTCGACGCGTGGATTTCTACGCGCTCAGGAAGTGAGTCGTGAGCGGGCGCCGAGGACAACGGGGGCGGCGGAGCAACGGGAGAGGGAGGACAGGAGAGGGGTGGGATCAGTGCTCAGCCCCCCCTGGTGTAGGCTTCATTGCTTCGATCGCCCAGCCCCCAATGCTCAGCCCTCAGCGCACCCAGGCTCAGTTCCGATCACATTCATTCACGCTCAGGCCCACTCGCCCTCACTCGCCCCAACCCCAGAGACTCGCTCATATTATGCAGGAGCTCTGCAGGATTGGCGGCGTCAGATCACCCATGGCTGGGAGGCGGTGCAGCCAAACGCCCTCACTGGGGCCAGTCTCTGAGTGTTGAGGGCGCGCTCACTCGCGTCGCTCGCTCGCTTTCCGCCCTCTGGAGTTCTAGCGCGCTTCCATCGAGTTCAGCTCCACCGAAATTCAGCGCCACGGGCGTCATTGTCATCATTGTCATCGTTGTCATCATCGTCACTCAGACTTGCCCAACCTCAGGTTCACTTGCACTCACGCGTCCTCGCCCTATCCCCCCTTCCTCATCCTCATCCTCTCCGCGCCCCTCTCGCGTGTTCCTGCCTGCTCCTCTCGCGCCCCCACCCGGGCGTGCCGCCCAGGTCGCGTTCGTCCTGCTCGAGGCCATCGCGGACCCCCGGGCCCCACGCGAAGGCCCTGGGATCTCGGCGCTGCTGTGTGTAACAACGGGCGTTTGCAGAGAGAGGGATCTCTCTCTCTCTCTCTCAATCTCTTTCATTTTTTTTGTTTCTCTCTCTCTCTCTCCCTCTGTCTCTCTCTCTCTCTGCACACAGGGAGGGGGCCCTCTCTCTCCCTCTCTCCCTTCGTCTGTCAGCGCAGGGAGGGGCCCCTCTCTCCGTCTCTTTCTCTTTGTTTTCTCCATGCAGTTCTAGCACGCTTCCAATGAGTTCAGCTCCACAGAAGTTCAGCGCCACGGGCGTCATTGTCATTATTGTCATCGTTGTCATCATCGTCACTCATACTCGCCCCAACTCAGGTTCACTTGCAACAAAACTCACACAGGGTCAGGCTCACTCAGGCAATCAGGCGAAAGAAAAACATGATTACTGCGCGGCATTGGCACCGCTACAACTGCTACAATTACGACTACTACTACTACTACTACTACTACTACTACTACTACTACTACTACTACTACTACTACTACTACTACTACTACTACTACTACTACTACTACTACTACTACTACTACTACTACTACTACTACTACTACTACTACTACTACTACTACTACTACTACTACTACTACTACTACTACTACTACTACTACTACTACTACTACTACTACTACTACTACTACTACTACTACTACTACTACTACTGCTGCTACTACTACTACTACTATTACGACTACTACTACTACTACTACGACTACTACTACTACTACTACTACTACGAAGACGACGACGACTACTACTACGATTACTACTACTACCACTACTACCACTGCCACTACTACGCCTACTACTACTACTACGACGACGACGACTACTACTACTACTACGAGAACGACTACTACTGCTACTACTACTGCTACTGCGATAAATTTTCATGCTACGACTGATACAAATAATACTCATAATAATACCACTACGACGACCCACTACAAATACTACTACTAGTCCTTGGTATTACATCTGCTACGACTACAACTAACAAGACTACTACTACTACTACTACTACTACTAGGACTCCTACGACTACGACTACCACGGCTACGGCTTCAACAACAGAAACTACTACTACCACTGCTACTACTCCTGCTACTCCTACTACTACTACTACTACTACTACTGCTACTGCTACTGCTACTACTACTACGACTACTACTACTACTACTACTACTACTTCTACTAGTACTACTATGACTACTACTTCTACTACTACTACTACTACTACTACTGCTACTACTACTAAGACTACGACAGCTACGACCACGACTACGACTACAACTACGACTAGGACTACGACTCCGACTACAGCTACTACTACTACTACTACTACGACTGCTGCTACTACAACTGCTACTACTACTGCTACTACTACTACTACTACTACTACTACTACTACTACTACTACTACTACTACTACTACTACTACTACTACTACTACTACTACTACTACTACTACTACTACTACTACTACTACTACTACTACTACTACTACTACTACTACTACTACTACTACTACTACTACTACTACTACTACTACTACTACTACTACTACTACTACTACTACTACTACTACTACTACTACTACTACTACTACTACTACTACTACTACTACTACTACTACTATTAATACTACTACTACTACTACTACTACTACTACTGCTACTACTACTACTGATACTACTACTTACTACTGCTACTACTACTACGAAACGACAGCGACTCGACAACGACTAAGGTCACGACTACTACTACTTACTACGCTACTACTACTACTACTACTACTTGCACTACTCTACTACTGCTACTACTTACTACTTATTACTGTACTACGCTACTACTTCTATACTACTACTATACTATTACTACTAATACTACTACCTCTACTACTACTACTACTACTTACTACTACTATAATACTACTACTACCTACTACTCGAA